CTTTCACAAGTACGAATAGCATGAACTCTCTAGAGATCGAGAGTAGAAGATAAGCATCAACACAAATATGATCATGTCTACTGACTACGCGACACGGTTCGTCTGTCGTCCGTTACTCTCAACAATATACTACCTTCGAACCATCATGAAGATCTAGTGCCTACCTACCCCCACACACACTCACCCACACACACCACACACCCTTCTGATTAGGTTTCGAGCTTAAGAGACAGGGCACCGTTCACGCGAACAGGACACAAGATGGTCACGAGCAGGTGCGAGAATGGGCGTGTGCGGGACAAATGGCGGCCACCCTCACGGCGATACTAGGCAGCGACAAACACAGGGTAGGCTTGGTGTGTGCGTGAATTTATGTCTCTGTGTGTGTGTGTGTGTGTGTGTCTGCGACCCTCTTCTGTATTCCTTCTTTCCTTCTGTGTGTCAACCTGCACCATGTCACCACGCCCCCCTATCTCCACCTTTTCTTGTTTCACAACGTCACTCCTCATTTGTTTCACTCCTCGTTCTTCTCCATCATCACCATCATCGCGCTCATCTCGTGCCCATGGCGCAATCTGCGCGTCCATCTGCAATCTTGCCGCCCGTCGCTGCCAGACATCCGAGTTTTCTCCCCTCCCGCAGACAGAACGCGGCGCGAACGATCACTTTGGTGAGCAGGACGACGTGACGGTGGTGGTGGCTGTAGTGATAGTAGTGGTAGTGGTGATGCAACAGCCACAACAACAACAACAACAACAACAACAACTACAACAACAACAACAACTACAACAACAACAACTACAACAACAACAACAACTACAACAACAACAACTACAACAACAACAACAACTACAACAACAACAACAACAACAACAACAACAACAACAACAACAACAACAACAACAACAACAACAACAACAAAGGCAACCACCTTGCCCTCTTTCCGTCCCTTCCTCGCTTTCCTTTTATGACATGCCCTCTTTGCCTCCGTCATGCGATTCCCTCACCCATTTTTGTCTTGCAGGCGTCATGAGTTCGCGACGAAGCGTGGCGTCCCCCTACGACAACGATGATGAATTGACAGACAATGACAGCGCCACAAGAAGCGCTGCTGCTGATGATGGCGCGTGCTCGGAGGGAAATCGGTTCATCCTCAACGACCACCTCTAGCTTGTGTATGCGTTTGTGTGTGTGCGTGTGTGTGTGTGTGTCTGTGTGTGTGTCTGTGTGTGTGTGTGTGTGTGTGTGTGTGTGTGTGTGTGTGTGTGTGTCTTGTCTGTTTGTCTGTGTGCACCACCAGCCCCTTGCCTTTCGCCTTTCGCCTTTCTCATCGCCCTAACCCCCTTGCCTTTCGTGCTACTTTTAGTTACCGTCCTTGTAATAGGTTGCCGCGCAATTTGAAATTTTGAGTCTTGAAATTGTATTTTTGTTTTTCGTGTGTGTGTTGGCAACAAGCAAACCGCACACAACAAAGCACAACAGAGCAACGCCACACAGACCAAACAACCACACACTGACTTGACCTGTCGCGCAGATTCCTTCCCCTCGCCATTATCAGCACTTGCCATCAGCACTTGCTTGCATGGTTGAAAGCCAACACAGCAACCAACCTCGATCATTTCCCACTCGCCACTCGACAAGCAACCAAAGAAGCAAAGCAAGATCACACCTCCCCTTCACAACTCGCCTTCACCACCAGCTACCACCAACAAAAGATGAGCCACGTCCAGACCTTCTCCGGCCACAGCGGGCAAAACAGCTCCCGCGTGCTTGCGCCTCCCGGCGGCCGCAGCAACTTCTCCTTCTGCGACGGCAGCGATGTCCAGGCTCGCCCTCAGCCTGCCAAGCGCTCCTACGCCCACAGCCAGCACCACGTCTCCCAGATCCCCTTTGGTGCGCCCGCCCCTGCTCCCCAGCAGCAGCAGCAGCAGCAGCAGCAGCAGCCTCCTGTCGTCAGCCAACCCCCTGTCGTCAGCCAGCAGCAGCAGCAGCAGCCGGCTAAGACGGTCGCCTCGCCTGCTGCCAAGGGCACGCTTCGCTCCCAGAACTATGACCTCAAGGTGGAAGGCGGCAAGCACCGCAAGGACGTGCACACCTCCTCCCGTGTGCTCGCGCCCCCGGGCGGCCACACCCACAACATCTTCGGCTAAACGTATCGTATCCTATCGGACCACACATGTGTGTGCGTGTGTGAAGTGGACCAACCATCGCCCACCCCATCGCGTCGCTCTTTGAGCATGACCTCGCCTCGCCCACTTCCCTTGTGTCGATTCGACATGGCTCTGTGGTCCTGAACGTTCCTTGATCTGCTTCTCGTGTTCTTCTTGACTTGATTCCCGCAATGCCCCTTCTGATTGATTGATTGATTTGTTTGATCGAAAGTGTGTGTGTGTGTGTGCGGGTCTTAAGCGTTGACCGCTGTTGGTTCCTGCGTGTGTGTGTGTGTGTGTGTGTGTGTGTGTGTGTGTGTGTGGTTGCTGCCCCCTTTTTTGCTGTCTGGTCCCTTGTGCTTGCTTGGTTCATTCTTTGCATCTCTTGCCCGTGTTGTCACTGCTGCAGAAAGGGTACACAGTAAAACCCATCCCAACTCCCAACATCACATCACATCAAGCAAGCAAGAAACAAAAAAAAAAAAACAAGAAGCCTGTGGCTTGATTTGGTTGTGTGGATTCCTGACAGAGACGAGGCATAGAGGGGGTCACACAAACGTTGCAAAGACGAACACACACACACACACACACACACACACACACACACACACACACACACACACACACACGACCTAGGACAAGACAACAACTACAACAACTACTATACAACAAGGAACAAGAGAAACGAGGACTACTACCCCAGCAAGAGGGAAACAGGAGCAAATAAGAAAATGATGGCAGAGGAGGAGCTAAGGATAGAAATGGACGTAGTACCGGCAGACCTAAGTGATGTTGTAGAAGCGGCATCTGTCGACAGGAGGGCAACTTGTTTCTGATTTATGTGCTGCGACTACGTGAGTAACCAACTGCAGGAACGAAAGACAACAACAGAGAAAA